TGAGTTCTCAGTGCTTGTGGTGTTCTGTTTTGTAGCCACAGTTTGAATGGACTACAGTTAGTGGAATCTGACAGATGGAATGGAGATGCTGGACGCAAGTCTTTCTCACAATGACCTTGTGACAGGGGCCTAACGAGGGTCAAGGGAGATCCCTCAAGTAACAGAGTGAGGGGATGTAATGTAGCATCCCAGGAAGGAATTGGGTGAGATGAACCAGTGATAGGAGCTAGGGCTTGGTGGACCCTTTGGAAAGAGGCATAGAGGATTTCAATTCCCAACATCTGTACTGAGCAGTTCACAGTCACCTACAACTTGCAACTCTAGCTCTAAGGGGTCCAGTGCCCTCTTTTGGCCACCACAGGTACCTACACACATGTGCACACACCCACCCACAGATATATACACACATACAGAGAGACAGAGACAGAATAAACTAAGTCTTGGGGGTCAAAAAAGACTACATATGAAGATCCATGGCAAGGGGCTAGCAGGGCCTGGAGCTCTCCACAATGCACCTGGAGAAGCCTTTAGAGGAGGAAACTCCTTCCTCCAAAGTAGGCTCAGCACTGAGACCCCCTCCCCGGGGTCTCAGGACAACAGCCTCCTGTGTCCTGTAGAGAGAAAGGCACTGGGGCTGTGATGTTGCAGAAGTCAGCATGTAACAGTGACCTTAATTCATGGAACCTTTGCCCTTCGACTGTCCTTTACCTGCATCTAACTCCCTGCTTTATTTTCTTTTTAATAGTTTTTTCCATAAAATGTCTGCTTTTATAGCCATTTATAGTTGAAGGGCACCCCAGATGCCTATTCCAAGCTGGTACCCTGGTGAATTCTATCAGCTCATGACCCCATCACATCCCAGGGCCAAGTGTGGAGGAGGGAAGGAACACAGAACCTACTAGAGGAAGCCCCACTCCATTATTCCAGGACTCAGGAGTCAGTGGATGTCTGTGTGGCTCTGACTCGCTTCCTGTGGTGTTTTCAGGTTTTCCCTGCTGGGGTGTACAGAGCTCTCCCGTGACACTCAGCGCTCTCCCCGGCCTCTGCACAGGGCAGCCTGTGGCTAGAGCTGCACCTTAAATCAATAGGCTCCGCCAAAACTGGCACCGAACATTTTTATGGGTTAAAGAGCCTCAAAGCAGAGCTCAGGAAATCTTGTAGTGTCATACAGGATGTGGGGGTTACACTAATCACCCATCTACATTTTCCAGAACAATTATCAGACCTTGTGTTCCAATTCAGCACCCAGAAAACATGACCCTAGTCATCTGTTTATTCATCAAGTGTTTGTTGGATTCCTGTATGTGCACATGTTTAAATCCCCAGGGATACAGCAATGGGCATGTAGACAGACCCCCTACTAAAACATTCTAGTTATGGAAGACAGGCAACAGGCCAACAAATAAGAGTTGAGTGGTGACACACCTTTGAGGAGAAAACAACAGGGTAAGGGATTGGCTGTGTGGATCCGGTTATGCTTGCTTACCTAGCACGCACAAAAACCCTGGGTTCAATCTCCAGCCCGCTTCTGACCTGTCCGATGCTACATGCATGTGTCACACATACATACATGCAGGAAAAACAGTCACACACAAAATTAACAAAGAAAAAGATGGCTTGCTTTTACAGAGATGGGGAAGGGTAGACCAGGACAGATTGGGACTGAGATACAAGTGTGGGATTTGCCAGCTAATAGACCATTTTAATATGGTCTGAAGAGGGGTGGTAGATAAATGAAAGTGTGCAGATGATCAGGGCGCAGTTCAGTGCTACACTACTTGCCCCTAAGGAGGGAGTCCTGGGGAGGCTAGAAATATTCCCAAGCACAGGGAGTCATGTTGTGTATACTTCCACTAATGAGCAGCAGAAATACTCGCTGGCCTCTGAAGTCCCTGAATTAACAGCTACATGTGTAAGAGTATCTTTCCTCATCATGAGTCCATTTGGAAACAGAGCTCAAGTATTCAGGAGAATATAAGACTTCACACAGTGCTGCATACTAGCTGGGCGTTGGTGGCGCACGCCTTTAATCTCAGCACTCGGGAGGCAGAGGCAGGCGGATCTATGTGAGTTCGAGACCAGCCTGGTCTACAAAAGCTAGTTCCAGGGCAGCCTCCAAAGCCACAGAGAAACCCTGTCTCGAAAAAACCAAAAATAAAAACAAAAAACAAAAAACAAAAAAACACAGTGCTGCATATACATGTAACTGCCAGGGCCCAGGACCCCATGCTAGATCACCAGGACCCCATGCCAGATCACCAGGACCCCATGCTAGATCACCAGGACCCCATGCTAGATCACCAGGACCCCATGCTAGGTCACCAGGACTCCATGATCACCAGGACCCCATGACTCATGCTAGATCACCAGGGCCCAGGCATACCTGGATGACGGTGCTGATTGGGCTCTTTCCCATGGAAGCCCTTATGCATTACCTGTTGGCCTCACCCCTTTGCAAATCATTTGCCCAAAGAAAACAAGAATTGAATTGAAATTTAGCCAGGCATTTGTAATACAACCTCTGCCCTCCATGCTCAGCCTTGGCCTTGATATTATGGCACTCGCTCTGCACCTGCCAGCACAAATGGTCAGCATCAGGTGTTTGCACAGTGAGAAGCAGCTCGCACACTTTGCTCATTTTGCACCCTCATCTCCATCCTGCGGCGGCAGGTACAGCATGTACCGTTATCTGCAGGCAAAGGAAACTGAAACAAAGATAGGGCGTGGGGGCTGGAGAGATGGCTCTGCCATTGGAGTACTTGTCCTTGCAGAGGAACGAGGTAGGTTCCCAGCACCCACATGACAGCCTCACTTCTGTCTGTAACTCCAGGGCATCCAATGCTCTCTTTTGGCCTCATCAGATACCAGGCATGCACACATATAAGCAGGCAAAACATCAACACAAAAGATATAAAATAAATACATCTAAAATTTTTCTAAAGGTAGGTCTCATGGATTTCTGAGATCAAGAAGCCAGCTGGCAACAGAATTGAGAGTCTCACCTAGGTGTGGCCGACTCCATGGGGGCGAGGGGAGCCCACCCACGCTGGAGCCTCGGCTCTAGCCTAGATTGGCAGACCATGTCATGGACCTCCAGGTCTGTGTTCAGTGTTACCTCTGTCATCACCTGCCCTCATCATTCACATATCCACAGGGCACTAGCGGGTCGCTCTGAGGAACCTGCCAGGTCACTTGGCTTTATTCAGCCTCCTTTCTGATTTGACTTCTGTCCGTGATAGTAACCACCACCACCCCCCCACACACACACAACTCTGTTATCTTCTTACTCATGCATGGTTTCCCTTCCCAAAATAAGCCATAGCTGGGCATGGTGGCACACACCTTTAATTCCAGCACTCTGACGCAGAGGCAGACGAATCTCTTCAAGTTGGAGGCCAGCCTGATCTGCATAATGAGTTTCAAGCCAGTCATGGTTACAGGGTTATTCCCTGCCTCAAACAAACAATATCAAAGAATGGGCTAGCAAGAGTGGGTAACTCCTAGCCTGAAAACCTGTGTTTGGTCCCCACACCCAACATGGCAGAAGAAAAGAACTCCCCAAAATTGTTCTCTGACCATTAATTATACACATGTGTCCACATATAAACATAAATAAATAAAACGTAATAGCCTGTCTTTAAAGAAACCAAATGCCAAAAAGAAAAAGTGGAAAATTCCCTGTTTCTACTACTACGGTAATTCTAGAGGGTTACCTGAGTCTTTCCTCTTGATAAAAATTGGGGTGTTGCTTTTCCCTATTTTTTTTTACAGTATCCTTTTTGCTAGATGTGTAGTATTCCTTAGAGAGGGTGTACCATGGTTGGTCAAGAGTATGTGTATCCCCAAGGTCACCCCCCGCAGGGGGACCCTGGTGAAGACTATGAGTAATTGGGTTGTCTGGGGGTGGGAAATGGGGTGGGTTATGTTTGGCGCATGGTACATGTTACTCCAGAGGGGCCATTTAGAAGGCTGGAAAATTACAGTGTTCATACCCAGCCCACGACTGCCAACAAAGGGCACCTACAACAAACCCTGGGAAATTATAGCTTTTACAGTCTGAGCTACTCAGACAGAGAAAAGTACAGAGAACCCATGTGTCTGGATAAGAACACTGGGACAATGGTACGGCTATCCTTGGGCCCGAGAGGGACGGACTGGGAAAGAAAGGCTTCCCAGCTGCTGCCTGGCACAGCATGCAACGTCTCAGAGGCCCAGAGCTCAGTGGCTGAAGCCCCAGGAGAAAAACTCCTCCAGGTTGCCATCTCTCAGAGGTTTGCTGTGGGGAGAACTCTTTTGGTCAGTTCTACCACGGGAGCCTCCATGTGTGGATGAGGAGGCAGGAGTGCTGGGCGGTTGAATGGATGGCAGCTTGTACACCTGTGTGTCTCCGTCATGGTGTAGGGCTAGCTGCGCTCAGCACACTGAGTCCAATAGAAAGAGGTGACAGTGTGGCTAGGGAGGTGGCACAGCTGGTAAAACCCATGCCTCATAAGCATAGAACCTGAATTTGAGCCCCAGGACCCATTTAAGTACTCTAGGTGCGGCAGAATGCATTTGCGACCCCATTACTTGGGAAGCAGCAGCAGAGGGACCCCTGGGGCTCACTGGCCAGCCAGTCTAACCTAGCTGGCAAGACTTTGGTCCCAGCAAGATATCCTATCTCAAAAACAAGGTGGACTGTGATAGAGGAGGAAGACCCTTGAGGTTGACCTCTGACCTCTCCGTTCACATGTGCACATATGTGCATAAATGCACTCATCCACACTGTGAACGTGTACGCATGTAGACACACACACACACGCACACGCACACGCACGCACGAGAGCGCGAAAAACGTAAGAGGAGGGTATGTTTCTGGAATGTTTCTGGCCTTTCACTGTGTGGGGTGAGGCAGGCCTCGGGCTAGAGCACTACAGATGGGAACTCCTGCTCCTGGAACCTATGTTGGAGAACTGGCTCCTTGGAGGGATCTCCACTCTCCTGCCAATCAAGGAACCGCTATGAGAACAGGCCAGGTGCTGATGCCTCACTTTGAAAACACAACGTGCCGCTCTCTGGACCTCAGAATCAGACACAGCGGAGGTGAGAGGCTGTCCGTCCCCATGCCCAGCTCCCCGGGGACCAGATCACACCCACTTCCAGGGTATCATGGCTGTCTTGGTCCAAATTCTGTTTAAGGAAAAACCAACAGGGCACATGCCTGAGGGCCATACCCTGTTGCCTTCTAGAGTGTCCTCCCGCAGAGCAGAAGACCCTGGCAGCTCAGCTGAGCTTTCCTCATTTCCTGATTCTGCTCTGAGATCCCCTGGTGATGGCATCAGAGACCTAGGGAGAGGTTCAGCCACAGTGTGGTCCCTGCTGGAGTTCTGACCCCTCCACCAATCCTTCACAACGTCACCTGAACCTCAGACTCCACGTCTGAAGACACGGTATCAGCATGTCCTACCTAGGCAGGTGTGAGAAATAAGACATGTATGAAAATGGTCTAAAACTGCAAAGACCACCCAAGCTTCAGTGAAGAAAGTGTCACAGGGCAGTGACTGCGTTTAAAAGAGTGTAGCTATCTGCTGCTCTTGGTGGTAGTGGTTAGTGGTAGCCGTGGCGAGAGTTGCCGTCTAGTACATGTGTGGAGGTCAGAGGACAACTTGCTGAGAGTTGGTTCTTTCAACTCTGTGGATCCTGGGGATTGAACTCATTTCATCAGGTTTGGCAGCGAGCACCTGTACCCGCTAAGCCATCTCACTGGCCTTAGACTAACATGCGTGTGTATACATATCTATTAATGTGTACATATACATGTTACTGTGCATATACATATATTAGTGTGTATATATACATATATGTGTATCTATACATATATTAGTGTATGTATGTACACATATATATTAATGTGTATATATATATTAGCATGTGTAGATACATATGTGTGTATACATATATATTAGTATACATATATACACATATATTAGGGTATATATTAGTGTGCATATGTACACATATATGTTAGTGTGTATATATATACATATGTTAGTGTGTCTATATACATATATATCTGTGTATGCATATGTTAGTGTATATAAACACATATTAGTCTGTGTATATGTGTACATACATATATTAGTCTGTGTGAGTATAAACATAAAAATTTGTATATACATATAGTGTGTGTAAATACATATATATTAGTGTGTATATATGTGTGTGCTTGTGTATACATATGGGTGTATAATATATTAGTGTGTATATACATATATTAGTGTGTATACATGTGTATATATATCTATGTGTATATATACATATATTGTATATTCATATATTAGTGTATTACATATATATTAGCACGCACGTGTGTGGGTGTGGGTGTGTGTGTGTGTGTGTGTGTGTGTGTGTGTGTGTGTGCATGCCTATTATAGTGGACAAATAGAAGCCAGAGGACAACTTTCAGGAGTCAGTTTTCTCTCTCCACCATATAGGTCCTGGGGCTTGAACTCGGGTTTGGAGCAGGTGCCTTTTTCTGCTGAGCCATCTTGCCAGGCCCTGCATTCATTTGTCCTGTTTATTGAATACCTACAAAGCACTGAGATTTCTAATGAAGCTGAGAGACAGCAGAGCTGGATTTGTTTGCAAGGGCATCTGTCCTTGGGCTCAGTAGCCTCCATCAGCCTCCAGGAGGTGGCCCAATGACGATGACCTACAGGAGCCAGAAGCGATGACCCATCTCACAGGGGAGGCCATTTCTTTGGTATAAACATCCCCCTGCAGTTAGTGGGATAAATATAAACACAGCCTCCTGATCAAGGCTCTGGAATGAAGCTTTGCATTCTGGACTCCCTGCTGTCTCCGCTGCAGGGAAACAGCGGCCAGGGTTGGCCATGCGGGCTCCTGCAGCCAACCAAGCTGCTGGCCCATGTGAATCTGGTTTGGCTCCCTGACAGTGAGGGCAGGCAGCTCACAGAGCCATAGGCTAACACGGAGATTTGGTTTCTTCATAAGTCTCTTTGCTTATAGATGGCTCTGACTCTCTGTGTCTCTGGGCCCTCACTGCTTCCTCTCACAGGATCAGACGAGGCTCCTTGCTGCCCTTGTTAGTCTCATAGGGGCTGTCTACCAATACAGGCGCACTCAGAGCTCCGGGACCTCGACATGTGAATTGCAGGGGATCACAGTTCAGACAGGTATGGGCTTCAGAAGCCACCGTGAGCATGCCGTGGCTGCTCATCATTGGTCCTGTAGACTGGAGGAAAAGAACAAAGCAGGAGGAGGATGAAGGAAGCTCAGAGATGTGAGAAAAGGCATGAGAGGATCAAGTCTGAGACCCAGGATGGCAGTGATCCCTCCATGGTGCTTGGCTCTGAGCCACCCAGGGGGGTGGTCACATTGGGCCAAAGGGAGGCCAGCCAGGGCTCCTTAAAAGGATGAAAATGAACAAGTGTCATAGCAACCAATGTTCCGGGTGCTGAGGAGGGAATCTCATGGATACTTATGTATGGGACATGGACAGCAATGCTCTCCCTCTGGTTTTGCAGAGGCTTTGAAGTGGATGGATGCCTCTGTCATTCCTTCATGAAGGCACAAGAGCCAGCATTGAATCATAGAGAGAGCATTTCCGTAGTCTATGGTTTCTATTTTCTGATTACCCATCTGTATTAGCTTTATGTGATAAATACCCTAACAAAAGCAACTGGGCTGGAGAGATGGCTCAGAGGTTAAGGGCTTTGGCTGCTCTTCCAGTGGTCCTCAGTTCAATTCCCAGCAACCACATGATGGCTCACAACCATCCATAATGAGATCTGGTGCCCTCTTCTGGCAAGGAGCATACACGCAGGCAGAACAATGTATACATAATAAATCTTTAAAAAAAAAATAAAATAAAAAGGGCTTATTTTGACTTAGGATTCCAGGTTACAAATCATTGTAGGAAAGTTAAGGCAAAACCTTGAGGCAGCTAGACACATCCACACCCATATCAGGCAGAAATTAACGCACGAAGCTTATGGGATAGTGCCTCCCACAGTGGGATGAGAAACCCCATATTAATTAACGCAATTAAGACAATCCATCACAGACATGCCCTCAGGCCACCCCAACCCAGCCCATCCCTCACCGAGATACGCTTTCCCAGTGACTTTACACTGTGTTAAATTGACAGTCAAAACCAACCCATCACACCATATGGATACAGAATGGCATTTGGAAGAGCTGAAGAGATGGCTCAGCAGTTAGGAGTGGGTACTGTTCTCACAGAGGGACCTGAGTTTGGTTCCTAACACACACCTTAAGCTCCAGGAGATCTGACACACTCTTCAGGTCTCTACTGACACCTGCACTTGTGCACATACAGACAATCACATAATTTACAAATAATATATTTTTAAAAGAGATGGCATTAGAATTCCCACCAGTGGGACTCTTTGCCTATGTTCATTAAGATCTCCTGGAGACTCAAAGTGGGGAGACAATGTCCCTCTCATCCTAGCCAGACACTAAGCTCCTTGACATAGCAGTCTCACCTCATGGCTGTCACATAGTAGGCTCTTTATAACTTTAGGAAAGCCAATCACAGATGAGCACATAGATGAGCCAGAAGAATGGTTCCCTCACCTATTGTACCTTCTGTAAGCTGGGGGTCTGCCAAGTGTGGCCTGGCTCTCCCTATTTTGCAGGTACCCAATCTCAATAATAAGCTGATAAAGTATAGCATGAGTTCTAATAGGTTTTAATAATAAAAGGCTGGAGTCAGATATAAGGGAAAATGCTGAGAGATGAAGAGAGGAGGAGGAGCAAGCCAAAGCCACTTTTACCTCACTAGCTTCCTAGCAGAAAAGAGACTAAGTTCCTGTTTCCTCCCTCCTATATTCCTTTCTCTGCCCAGCCATCTCACTTCCTGTCTGTACAGACCTCTATGGTTAGCTAGTGTCAAGCTCCACCCTCTAATCTTCAGACAAGCTTTATTTGTACAAACAAGTTATCATTACAGGTGAGTCATATTTATTGATGTCTGCTCTCCACCAAGTACCCTGAGAAGTACAGCGACTGTTTGTCCGACCCATCTGATAGACAAGGAAACAGATGTAGCTGGCTGAAGGTCTCTGTGAGGCTTATGGCTGACTGAACCCAAATCCCTGGCTCCAGGGCCTGTGGTTTGGCCACCATGTCTCAATATATGGACAATTTACTCTGCTTCTCTGAGGCAAAGTGGCACTTCCGGTGTCTGGGTGCCCTCAGAGTCCCTAGGAAATGCTCCAGAGACTACCTTCCCTCATGCCCAGAGCAGGCTGCTTCCCTGCACCCATCCTGAGAGAACAATGAGCTTTCTGTCTTTTTCGTTATTTGGTTCTATTTCAGCTTGTGGTTTCATTTGGGTTGTTCTGATTTGATTTTGTGAGATAAAACATCATAAAGCAGAGGGTGGTTTTGAACTCCTTTGAGCCTGACTTCTTACCTCTCTGAGTGCTGGAATTGCACGGTCAGCTTGTTTCTCTGTGTTTAACCTCCTACCAAATTTAGGTTTTGAGTTTTTTCTGTTTTGTGGCCTTGATCTGTCCCCTTATCTCCTCCTGACTACTGCCCTGTCTGGGTCTCCTCTTATTAGACCAGTTTCATTCATTCATACACACACACACACACACACACACACACACACACACACACACACACACACACGGCTGTTCTTTCCATTTCCTTCTAAAATTGAATAAAATGCTGAAAGTCAGTAAACATATTCAGTGTCCCCACTGCTGCTTGACATCTGCCGGGACATCATGTGTCTTTCTCTTTTTGTAAAATCATTGGTGGATTTGTTTCTCTTATTCCAACCAATGAGAGGGTTAGGCTTTCTCATCTTCTCAGGTGTCATCTGGGAGTGTGTTGGGCTTTGCCAGGTGACCTCTTTGACTGCTGTGTTCTTCATCCTCCCCCTCCCCAGGTTCCCTGCCTCAGTGCCTTTGCTCAAGCTGCTGATGGACCTGGGACAGTTATGCAGATGCCTTCTTGAGACCTCCTCTGACCCCCGACTCCACACCAGACCTGCCCCCCCCCCACTTAGCACTCCACACTTCCACGGCCTGCTGTTTATTCTACCT